CTCTCACTGACTGTCCATCAATCTCTGTCCTGTCCTGCAGCTCGCTCTGTGGCAGCCGCGTCCCTTATTGATGACACATCGTCCCAACACAGCTCTGACCTGTCAGACACAAGGACCGAACACTCTGATGAGGATGTGGGAGATAAAGGGCACAAACGCAGTACCAGCGTCAAGGCAACCAAGAAGCCTGCTGCTGCTAAGACAGAGGTAGGGCATAAACGCACACACGCTTTGTAGATTTGTCAATCACAGGGCAATTTTCTTAAATTGTATATTACAATATTCAGTCACTAGCCACTTTAAATACACCTTCAAATGCTCATTACCCAGCAACTGCATTTAGCCATGTAGACATGGTCAAGATGACCTGCTGAAGTTCAAACTGAGCATCAGAATGAGGGAAAATGTTTAAGTGACTTTGAAAGTGATTTGTTTGTTTTGTGGTGCCAGATGGGTTGGTCAGAGTATTTCGGAAACTGCTGAGGTTTTCCCACACATTCATCTCTAAGGTTTACAGAGACTGGTCTGAAAAAGAGAAAATATCCAGGGGCTCTACAGTCACCTGATCTCAGTCCTATAGAGCATCTTTGGGATGTGGGAGAATGGGTGTGGACAGAAATCTTCCAGCACCTTGTTGAATCTGTGCCTTGAAGAATTCTGAAGGCCGACGAGGCCCCAGCCCTGTACTAGCAAGGTGTACCTAATAATCTGACCAATAAGTGTAGCATTGTCAGTATTTCCTAATATTTTTTTTCTTCCTCAACAATTAACCTACTTTAATTTGGTAATAGTAATATATGTATTTCGTTACTAATAACACAGTTCATTTCCAATAAAACGGTGATAAATGATTTCATGTTGCACACATTACCTCTTGACCTACATTTAGTTCTGACCCACAGATTACATGTATGCTTTCACAAGCAATTAAGTGGCCTGTGAGTTCATATAATCATACCTGTAATTACACAGGCAAGTGATACTACCTGCACCAACTGTATATACATCAGATGTTCCTGTGGTGTTTTGCAGCATCAACAGTTCACTCAGAAATTGCATGATGCTCTTTATGGAGACTTTGTTTTCACTGTTTACACAGATTAAACATGCTTTGAGCAGCAGTTACAATGCAACTAATACTTGTACTCTTGTTAGTGAAACCACTCATTTTACCAGTCTTTGATTGATCAGCTCTAGTAATCTCTCTCTTTATTTTCTTCTTCTGCGGCCAGACTCAAACCAAGACAGTGAAGAAGCCAGTGAAGAAGAAGACGACAACTAATAACGCAGAGACGCCACCATGAGTCCTGCAGCCCACACATGCACTGGCCTCCACTCGCTCCACCCACAGCCTGCAGTCCCTTCCTCCTGTTTGGTGTCCACACAAGCGCACATATACACTTTACATACATACATTCATTTTAAATACAGTTCTGTTAAAGTTACAGGCCCTTGTTAATGTCTCGTTCTCTTTAAAGAGAATTTAGCTGAGATTTAACTGAGACTTTTTTTTTTCTTTTTAATTTCACACAGGCCACAGTCTTCAGCTAATCTTGACCTGACCGTGTGATAGAAATCGTCCAAAGTTTCTTTTGAAGCACTGAAAACTGGAACTCTGGGCTCTCAGTATTTTACCATCATTTTAAACTAAGGAGAAAAAGGCAAAATCTCCTTTGAGGCCTACATTAATTAATGAGTGGATGAGTGTGTCCATCCTTACTGCTGTTAAGCTCAGCACACCTGTCACTCAGGACCAGCCTGTCTTCACTCTTTTACAGCAGTGTATCCTGTCTTTGTTTAATGTTGAACTAATTCTTTTTGTTTGTTTTTGCGTCCAAAGTTTCATTGTTAGCTTGTCCTCAGTCTGTTTCCTCTGAGTGAGTCTGGCTCTGCCACGTTCAGGTCTCACTCTTTCACGTCACACACAGTGCTGATGATGAATTATTTGTTCAGTGCTGGTTTTGTGATCCTCGGTCTGGACGCTACTCTGAGGTCATATGTAACTATGATCTGTGATGTTAGTAATTAATATGATCAGCTGTGCTCAGCTGGATCTGTGAAGGCAATGCTGCTAATGAGTGATGACTTTCATGCTGGTGTTTTTGAGCTAACTTATCCGCTTTCACTACAAAGGGGATGTTTGTATATCATTTCCTTTCAACATTACAAAGTGACTCAGCACCTCTGCGTTTTCTTTTACTCCTTCTATCCAGCTGTGTGGTGACACTTGACCTGATTATTAGCATTTCTGCACACTGGAAGCTTGGATGGACTACAGAAATATGTGAATAGTGACACAAATAAAACTACTGCGAGTGATTATTTTAGTCTCAGATATGGAGGGAGAGTGAGAGCAGGCTGTGGGTGTTTCTAAAGTTACTGGACTTCTGGTTGTCAGCCACTGCATTAGGTATACTGAGTACACGAGAGCATGAGAGGAGGTCAGTGCTCATTACTGCTGTCAGCAGTGTGACTCTTGAACCAGTAGGGGGAGCCAAAGCCCACCTCCACTGTTAGCTGAAGTTGCTGAACCACATGTAAACACCAACATGTAAATAGTAACCTTGACTGTATATACAGTATGAGCTTGCTTGCCTTATTCATTCTCTGGGCTTTAATCAGTTTTTAATCATTTCTGTGTATTTTTCATTCTTAGTCTTGACAAATCACACGCTCTGACTGAGACCAGAGGAACCTCAGACTTCAGTAAAGACTTCTGGTAGTAGAAGTGATTATTGAATTTTAAATTAACATGTTTACTTTTCTCCTTGAGACATTTAACTCCATCTCAGTGTAGGGAATCGGCTTGTAAATTTACATTTTATCTTTGGTATTTTAGGGCCAAAAGTTGGAAACAAAACTTTTTTTTTTCTTCTCCTTAATTTAATGTTTACACTGAATAAAAACACATCACATACTGAAAAGTCATTTTGTGTTATGAAGAGAACGTTCTTCATTTTTATCTTGTGTCATTTTGAGATATTTATTGCTGATTATTTTGAGTTTAAAATCAGTATTGTATACAGGGACGTTCATTTGTATCTTGTTTGTGTCAGTTATCAAAGCTCCACATCAAAGAGGATAATTTCATGTGCCGGCACAGTGGTACCTAACAAGGTCATGTAATGGTCAATAAAATACTAATAAAGAACATTAAATTTTTGTGTTTCTGTGGATTGTCCAGCTAAATGATAACTGTATACACAGCACTATGTGGCATTAGCTCAGTTGTTTCTATTGGTGGCCTCTCACACCTCACTGAAGAAAGACACTAATTTTAACTTCCTAAAACCCGAACTTTTCCATGGCATTCATTTTTAATGTCTCTTTGCTATTTGGGCTGATTGGGACCTGATGAACGTTAAAAAAAAACAAAGAATTACCTAATTTTTTTTCTTTTCAAACCTGACTTTTGTTTCTGAGAAAAATGAGATCCACATATGAGGACATTTGTTTTCAATTTCCATAGGACAGTGGCAGTATAATGTTCTTGTAAGTAGATATCAGGCACTTGTAGAGCAGAATTTAGTATTTTGGTCTAGACAACCCAAAATGTGATGTCCATATATGTGGACGCCAGGTCCTAGGAGGATAATGTTTTGGCTGAAACTTTGACAACAAACTATTTAAACTGTTTTTTAACAACTTTTTAAAATTTGTATTTTATTTATTTTCTTTTATTTATACATCGAAGACTGCAATCTCTGGTAGCTCACTGTGGAAGCTCACCCTCTCTCTTAGTTTAGTTAATTGGTGGGTTTGGGTTTGAATTCTAACCATGACTTTGATCTTTGTCACTGTTTTGATTCTGTAAACAGACAGATGATGTACACTTTGAAGAGGAAACAAATATCAGTACTAAATTGTATTCTTATAGTGTCCAACAGTCTTTATCTTATGGTGCCCTCAATCCAAAGCTCAAAAGACAACATAAGATGCCAAAAAGTGGTTGTTTTACAGGAAAGTTTTAATAAAGCAAAGGGGGACTGAATACAAGGAGCTAGAAGGATGACAGTAAAACAACTGGATAGCTGTGAAATTACATAACATGCTAATTAATCCTCCAAATACATCCAAATAGCAGTGAGTATTCTGTAAATGCATTTGTTGTATTGGTTATTCAATTAACAGAGAAAACTGTGAGGAATGTGGTGAAGGCGGAAGAAGCCTCTGCTTCCTAGAATTGACTCCAATTTCTTTCTAAAAACAAAAGAGATCGCATTGTTTAAATCTTCTCTAATGCACTTTTTCATTGATTGCATAAAAGTGTTGTTCTCCTTCAGTATTTTATAGATTTCTGCCTGTACTTCTGGTGGCGATTTGAAGGAAACGTGATGAGTTTCCCATCCACTGACCAAGAACTTTTTAAGCAGATCAAATGAACTTATTGCCTCTAAAAAATTGCATGCGGTTTGAATATCATTTTTAAGTGTCTTTTTATCAATTTTCTCTTTATCCAATGCCTTGATGAGCTTCCTTTGGATAAGTTTTGATAAGTTTTGATTTTCCAATTCACTTTTAGTGTTTTTACATTTTTCAATATAAGAATTAAAACCACTGTTGGGAGATGAGATTTCGTCAAATGTAAGATAATTAAAATAGTTTGGACCACATATGCCATAGGGATGTGTGAATGCAACATCAGTGAAGATTTGATACTTCTCGTACCATTCACAAGCTTTGCGCAAAAGCTGAAACATACAAGGGTTTTTTTTGTCAGTCCTTTTTAAACACGGGCTATTATATGAATATATAAAAATTTTTTTTACCTTGTTTCCATTTTTTGATAGAAATTCAACCAATTTTTTAATTATAAATTCTTCAGTATGGATTTGGTTTTTTGAATCTTGGGGAATTTTTTCAGAAATAAATAGGGTACCATCTTTCATCAAAATCAAATAAAATCCATACTGGTTTATTTTATTTTTTTCTCCAGTGTTTAAATAGTGGTTAAATAATGGGTCCCTAAATTTATCAGGACAAATTGAAATTTTACTATTTATTGCTCTTTGAGGCCAAATCAAGTTCCGTACTAGCAATATTATTATAGATGTCTTTAATTTGGGAATCCTTTTTAAACATCGACACAAAAACGTACAAATGGGATTTTCTGCTTCCTGTAATTTTTTCCAGTCATCCATCACACGTTTAAAGATGTTTGATTTGTCGGAATATTTTAATTTGTCAGGATTTATTAATATAGATATTTCTTCTATGAAACTGTCGATTTTCTCTTTTATTTCATTATAATTATTCACATTTATTTCATTTAAAAAATTAGGATACTTATTTTGCGTAACATGTTTGATTATTTCATATAATTCCATATTATTCTCCGGACTTCCAGGCTCCTCCTGCTGCTGGCCTTCGTTCCTGAATAATAAAAAATGTTTAAATTAATCATGAAAGAAAATGGTGAAAAATTATGTAAAACTATAACTGTTTGGCTGCCCATAACACAAAAAAACATGTAGCTGCAAACTGCTAAAGTACCATTAGTCTGTTTCTTTTTATTCGATAAATCCTTTAAAACGTACACAGATTTGAATACTTACTGAATAGTTACGCCATCACCAACAGATAAACAAGAACTCGAGCCAGGGTTGGGGGAGGGATCTTTGTTATTTATTGGGGTCCCAGATTTTACCAAACTGAATTGAATAACATGTAAAATATAACCATTAGGTATTTAATTTAATTGTTGTATTTTGCAATGTGTTTAACCTCCTAGGACCTGGCGTCCACATATGTGGACATCACATTTTGGGTTATTTAGACTAAAATACTCAATTTTGTTCTACAAGGGCCTGATATCCACTTACGAGGACGTTATACTGCCACTGTTCTATCAAAATTTTAAACGAATATCCTCATATGTGGCTCTCATTTTTCTTAGAAACAAAAATAAGGTTAAAAAAAAATCTGGTAATTCTTTGTTTTTACATTTATCAGGTCCCAGTGTGACCAAATATCAAAGAGACATTAAAAATGCATGTCGTGAAAGAGTTCGGGTCTTAGGAGGTTAAAACAACTTGAATTCAGAGCAAGTTGGAACACAGAATTCAATTTGAGTTAAAGTATTACTGTTAAATAATCAAGATAAAACAACATGAATAATAAACACTGATAAATTCAAAGATATTTATCCTACAGTTACCCCACAATCTTATTACTTGTACTTTTCCAAGTTCACGAGCTGTTTTGACTATAACACTTTGTTTCATAGGCTTACCTTTGTTGATCATGTTCATGAAGATCCTCCTTTGTGGAAAAAAAGGTTGATATATAACAAATTGTTCTGTGTAATCTGCCGTTTTGATTGCACAATTATTGTTAACCAAGAAGATTTGCAAAATTTGGCTGAGTCAGCAATTACATATCAAGGAGAGACGACACCAGAGATGTACATTTACATGGGTCAAAATAATAAATAATATCTGACAACATTACGTAGAAAAACATGAATTTTGAAAAGCAAAAAGATTTATTGCTGCACTTACCAAAGGTATTCTTCCACCAGCTCCTTGGATAGAAGGTTTACTTTCTGAAGTGAGCTTGTATTTTTTGCTCATTTTAAAATTTAAAATTTTGTTGATCCCTCCCCCACACGTTGCCGTTTTGAAGAACCTCTACTATATCTTTTTAATATAAACAAAATATAATATATATATTTCATTTAAACATGTTGGGTGTCACTCAGCCCAGGCTTTATATACTCTATCGTCCCTTCCCTTGGCCAATCATTTTGGAGAATCTTTTACTGCTACTCTGTTTCATTACGTATGCTGCTGGAACGCTGTTTGTCAAGACTAAAGGGTTGTGACAACCTGGCAAGGACCAGTTTCTTATCGATGTTTGTACATTTTGATATGAAGTATTTAAAGTGATAATTAAGTAATTAACACTGCACAGAAAGGTAATGTTTCTTGAAATAGTAATTGTCACTGCAAAATGCTTCTTGTCCTGGTGTGTGATGCCCTCTGTGTTGCTGAGGACACCTTTTATTTGTGCTTGTGTTCATTACATTTGTTAACCAGCTCAGATAGTTTTATATGGAAAGTTCCAGTTTTTAACTGGCATCATAGGGTTCCATAATTCAAACAGAAGTCTGACAATATAACCCTGTGAGTCTGAGCTTATGCCAAAAAATCTATTTTTTGCTACAAATGAATCTCCACATGCATCCATAAAGTTAAAACTGTATCAAAAATCAAGTAATAAAAAATTATCAATCTAACAAAATGCCTTAATTCTCTGATGACTTCTCTGCATTTCCTGCACATTGAGCAAAATGCTTTTTGCTTTTTTTTAGTCAGTTGTACCTACTTAGAGATATGTTACTTACACACTTACCTATAAGATAAGGGTACAAGCCCAAAAACAAGAAGTTGAAGAGGAGCCTGGCAGGTGATCACCAGTGATCCCAGTGATCACCTGATAATGTCACTGAATTGTAGGCATCAAGCAGTCATTCTGTGTAAGTATATAGAAAAGTACTAAACATGACTACACAGAAAAAAAATTAGATTCAATTTCTTTTTTGGTTCAAATAGCAATTTAATAAAATCTGCAATTTTAATCACAAAAAGCTTATTTGATTATGATGAAGCATAAAGATGTAGCTGCCATTGGTAATGACCTTATGATGGTGTTTTGCCTCACGCGGTTATAAATATCTTAAGTATTCAGTGAGGTTTTAAACAATAGGTCAGACATCAAAGGCTAAATCCCGGCAATGCTGTTTGTCCTGAATAAACCAGTTTGTGAGGTGTGAGAAGAGCAACAAATAAACTTGAAATCTGAAATCGTTAGGATTCTTTCCATGTGTTCATCAGTTAAAGCCTCTGAGACAAGAGTACACAGATCCTTATGATATGGACAATGTTCAAAATAAAAAAAACAGGATGGCTTATAGAACCAAATATAGATTTTGAAAAGACTCAGAACTACAAAATTATAGAATCAGTGTGTAAACAGTGCCTCCTGCTTGGCAGTTCAATATTAAATAGCCTTTGTCCATAATATCCACTATCCCACACTTCCAAACCTATCTCAGACTTTCCTCTTTAACTTTGTCTTCAAGCTGCTCAACTTGAGCTCATACCCATTTCTAATCGTGTCCATTTTGATCACTGCGGATGAAAATCTTAGCAGCTTCAACTCTGTATATTGTCTTTTTGTCAGTACCACCATCTCCAAACCAGACATAATAGCAGGTATTTGTAAACTGTGATCTCTGTAAAGTCAAGCTTTACAATTCTGTAATTTGGATTGTAAGAAAATTACAGAATTATTACCTAGTAATAGATCATCAAATAACCAAGACTTGAATATCTACTCTATAACTACTATATATTTGTTTGTTATTTGTTATTTTTTGCTGCCTACTTTTTAGGTTTTGTTTCTCTTAATGTACCCTTGACAGTCCCGCATGCACATGTACACAGGATACATGCAAAGCAAATCTTTGTAACATATTTGTAGACAGGAATGCTGTGAGTCGTGAATGAAGAGCAGCAGAAAGAACTGCAGGGAAGACCTGTGAGTCAACCATAAGTCACTGAATGCTCATTGTCATGAGCAGAAGGAGGAGAGGACATAACTACAGAGTATAACAATGTTCAGCACGTTTTTATCACAGTGTGTCAAATAAGATCTGAAACAAGATAAAATGTTGTTTCCATTATTTTTTGTGTCTGTTAAAGTATATCCTGATAATCACAGACACAGTTTTAAGGGGCAATTACTTTTTCACAAAGGGCCAGGCTGGTTTGAATAGCTTTTTCTTTTCATTTTGTATTTACTTATCCATGTTTAATATTAAAATTAGTTTGATGATCTGAAACACAATAGTGAGATGAAAAAACACTAACAAGACAGGACGGGGCAAGTGCTTATTCACAGCACCCTGTCTTTTATGTTGATTTTCCAAAATGTGAGCAGATATTTTCTAGCTTATATATTTTAACACCTAATACTGATTGCAGATTTGCACGCATCCATCTTTTATATCACAGTTTTAACTTTTTAACTCTGTA